CCTCCTCGATAGATCGTCGCTCCTCGTCATCCATCTTCATGGGTCCTCGGCATCCATCTTCACGGGTCCTCGTCATCCATCTTCACGGGTCCTCGTCATCCATCTCGTCTTGCTGCATCGATGGTTCACTAAAAGGTTTCGTTGACAGCCCGATCTCCATAAGGATCAGTATCCTATGACTTTTGCACTTCGCCTTTCCGCCTAACACCTCAGTGTGCCATCCTGAGTATTTCGTTGTGTCCATCGACCAATGCATAACCAACCACGTGGCATCTCCATCTGTCGGTAGGATGTTCTCAGCCTTGAACTCTCCTAGCGCCGGAGCCATGAACAACAGGAGGTTGTGATTGTCGTTGGCTAGTTTCTTCACAAACTTCGTGAGCTGCGATTGACCAAGAGGCTTTCTCCGGTTCTTAAACTCCGCTGCTCCCCTCATGCTGCTTTGGCCATCAGGACTGTGGACGGGGCCCACAAACTCTCCGTCCCGTCTCCGCTTGTCCTTGCATCGAATGTAGTACCCGAAAGCTTTATGGTTAGGCATCTCATCGTCACTGTCCCGCAAGGGGATCAGATTACAGAAGCACTGAGTCAAGACTTTGCGGAACTCCCGTGCTGATGCTTCATCCTTCACGCAACCAAGCACCTCCTTCACTTTGCCTCTCACTTCCCTTCCGCAATGATGGCTGAGGGTTGAAAGAATGTCCTCAGGATCGGCCCAGCTCGTCAACATCACCACGACTCCTCCAAACGACTCCAGCAGGTTCCCGTCTCGGCGCAGCGCATCTACTGCTGTTGGATCATCCATGGGCTTGAGAGCGTCTCGGTGGATCCTCCTCAACACCTCAAGGCTCGAGTTGTTCCCGAAAGGTCTCCCCCCGCCAGCACAGATCGCGACGGTGATGGGGTCTACCCAGCTTGGCGGGAACTTGCTAGTTAAGTCGTTGAGTTCGATCCCATTCATCTCAATCTGATTGTCGGTCCGTTTAAGCTCAACGATTGACTCCGAGCTGCCGCGTGCAGGGACTTGGCTCATCGGCCAAGCATTGAGGACACCAAAGCCTTGCAAGATGTGCGCCTGGCACATGCTTTCGTGCGTTGCTATCTGAAACATACAGTACAACGATGAGTCCTTGAGGCTTTTCTTGTCACTTCGTACTATGGCCAACAGTGGATTTGCTAGATCTCGAAACAAGGTCGCGCTATCTTTCCCTTGTCCACCTCTCCAATACTTGAAGAATAGGTGGCAGAGCATGGGGTTGACATTGTCGAGCAACCCCTCAATCATCTCTTCCCCAAACACCTGCTTCAGGATATCGCGCTGCTCATCAGACTGAAGGATCATCGGAGGAAGAGCTCGATGGGTGATGCACTTGATAGTCTCTTGGTTCTTGCCTCGGCTATTTCTCGTCTGCTGTAAAGCATTGTTGAAATTCATCACCAGAGTGTTGGTACCCAGCATGATGCAATGAAAGCCTGCATTACGAAGCATCCTCTTGAGGAACAACAGCCTCCATAAGGCATTAGTGCGGCAGGGCATACCTTGATACCTCGGGATTGCTTCATCGACCAACACCCACAGGTGCTCCTTCTCTGTCCACAGCTTTGCTTCCTCCACGCGCACCTTTCCTGGGCCCGTCGTCTTGCCAAACAGGTATCCCACAACACCAAGCAAGTTCCAGCTGTACGCGTGCAGGTCGATCGTCAAGACTTCCTGCTCGCATTTTGTTGGGTCAAGGTAATCGATCCTGCGATCACACGCCTGGAGATCAAGATCGATGGCTGCATTGATCATGTGCGAGATGCCTCGTACAATCAGATATAAATCCTGTTCCTGGATGTATCCGAACAAGCAATAAAGCGATGTCTTTGGATTTCGTACGAAGTAGTCTACAGCACTCAGCGATTTCCCGCTCCCCGAGCATGCCTCGATCATACAAGTAACAATCCCGGCTTCACGGGTCCTCGTCATCCATCTTCACGGGTCCTCGTCATCCATCTTCACGGGTCCTCGTCATCCATCTTCACGGGTCCTCGTCATCCATCTTCACGGGTCCTCGTCATCCATCTTCACGGGTCCTCGTCATCCATCTTCACGGGTCCTCGTCATCCATCTTCACGGGTCCTCGTCATCCATCTTCACGGGTCCTCGTCATCCATCTTCACGGGTCCTCGTCATCCATCTTCACGGGTCCTCGTCATCCATCTTCACGGGTCCTCGTCATCCATCTTCACGGGTCCTCGTCATCCATCTTCACGGGTCCTCGTCATCCATCTCGTCTTGCTGCATCGATGGTTCACTAAAAGGTTTCGTTGACAGCCCGATCTCCATAAGGATCAGTATCCTATGACTTTTGCACTTCGCCTTTCCGCCTAACACCTCAGTGTGCCATCCTGAGTATTTCGTTGTGTCCATCGTCCAATGCAGAACCAACCACGTGGCATCTCCATCTGTCGGTAGGATGTTCTCAGCCTTGAACTCTCCTAGCGCCGGAGCCATGAACAACAGGAGGTTGTGATTGTCGTTGGCTAGTTTCTTCACAAACTTCGTGAGCTGCGATTGATCAAGAGGCTTTCTCCGGTTCTTAAACTCCGCTGCTCCCCTCATGCTGCTTTGGCCATCAGGACCGTGGACGGGGCCCACAAACTCTCCGTCCCGTCTCCGCTTGTCCTTGCATCGAATGTAGTACCCGAAAGCTTTATGGTTAGGCATCTCATCGTCACTGTCCCGCAAGGGGATCAGATTACAGAAGCACTGAGTCAAGACTTTGCGGAACTCCCGTGCTGATGCTTCATCCTTCACGCAACCAAGCACCTCCTTCACTTTGCCTCTCACTTCCCTTCCGCAATGATGGCTGAGGGTTGAAAGAATGTCCTCAGGATCGGCCCAGCTCGTCAACATCACCACGACTCCTCCAAACGACTCCAGCAGGTTCCCGTCTCGGCGCAGCGCATCTACTGCTGTTGGATCATCCATGGGCTTGAGAGCGTCTCGGTGGATCCTCCTCAACACCTCAAGGCTCGAGTTGTTCCCGAAAGGTCTCCCCCCGCCAGCACAGATCGCGACGGTGATGGGGTCTACCCAGCTTGGCGGGAACTTGCTAGTTAAGTCGTTGAGTTCGATCCCATTCATCTCAATCTGATTGTCGGTCCGTTTAAGCTCAACGATTGACTCCGAGCTGCCGCGTGCAGGGACTTGGCTCATCGGCCAAGCATTGAGGACACCAAAGCCTTGCAAGATGTGCGCCTGGCACATGCTTTCGTGCGTTGCTATCTGAAACATACAGTACAACGATGAGTCCTTGAGGCTTTTCTTGTCACCTCGTACTATGGCCAACAGTGGATTTGCTAGATCTCGAAACAAGGTCGCGCTATCTTTCCCTTGTCCACCTCTCCAATACTTGAAGAATAGGTGGCAGAGCATGGGGTTGACATTGTCGAGCAACCCCTCAATCATCTCTTCCCCAAACACCTGCTTCAGGATATCGCGCTGCTCATCAGACTGAAGGATCATCGGAGGAAGAGCTCGATGGGTGATGCACTTGATAGTCTCTTGGTTCTTGCCTCGGCTATTTCTCGTCTGCTGTAAAGCATTGTTGAAATTCATCACCAGAGTGTTGGTACCCAGCATGATGCAATGAAAGCCTGCATTACGAAGCATCCTCTTGAGGAACAACAGCCTCCATAAGGCATTAGTGCGGCAGGGCATACCTTGATACCTCGGGATTGCTTCATCGACCAACACCCACAGGTGCTCCTTCTCTGTCCACAGCTTTGCTTCCTCCACGCGCACCTTTCCTGGGCCCGTCGTCTTGCCAAACAGGTATCCCACAACACCAAGCAAGTTCCAGCTGTACGCGTGCAGGTCGATCGTCAAGACTTCCTGCTCGCATTTTGTTGGGTCAAGGTAATCGATCCTGCGATCACACGCCTGGAGATCAAGATCGATGGCTGCATTGATCATGTGCGAGATGCCTCGTACAATCAGATATAAATCCTGTTCCTGGATGTATCCGAACAAGCAATAAAGCGATGTCTTTGGATTTCGTACGAAGTAGTCTACAGCACTCAGCGATTTCCCGCTCCCCGAGCATGCCTCGATCATACAAGTAACAATCCCGGCTTCACGGGTCCTCGTCATCCATCTTCACGGGTCCTCGTCATCCATCTTCACGGGTCCTCGTCATCCATCTTCACGGGTCCTCGTCATCCATCTTCACGGGTCCTCGTCATCCATCTTCACGGGTCCTCGTCATCCATCTTCACGGGTCCTCGGCATCCATCTTCACGGGTCCTCGTCATCCATCTTCACGGGTCCTCGTCATCCATCTTCACGGGTCCTCGTCATCCATCTTCATGGGTCCTCGGCATCCATCTTCACGGGTCCTCGTCATCCATCTTCACGGGTCCTCGTCATCCATCTCGTCTTGCTGCATCGATGGTTCACTAAAAGGTTTCGTTGACAGCCCGATCTCCATAAGGATCAGTATCCTATGACTTTTGCACTTCGCCTTTCCGCCTAACACCTCAGTGTGCCATCCTGAGTATTTCGTTGTGTCCATCGTCCAATGCAGAACCAACCACGTGGCATCTCCATCTGTCGGTAGGATGTTCTCAGCCTTGAACTCTCCTAGCGCCGGAGCCATGAACAACAGGAGGTTGTGATTGTCGTTGGCTAGTTTCTTCACAAACTTCGTGAGCTGCGATTGATCAAGAGGCTTTCTCCGGTTCTTAAACTCCGCTGCTCCCCTCATGCTGCTTTGGCCATCAGGACTGTGGACGGGGCCCACAAACTCTCCGTCCCGTCTCCGCTTGTCCTTGCATCGAATGTAGTACCCGAAAGCTTTATGGTTAGGCATCTCATCGTCACTGTCCCGCAAGGGGATCAGATTACAGAAGCACTGAGTCAAGACTTTGCGGAACTCCCGTGCTGATGCTTCATCCTTCACGCAACCAAGCACCTCCTTCACTTTGCCTCTCACTTCCCTTCCGCAATGATGGCTGAGGGTTGAAAGAATGTCCTCAGGATCGGCCCAGCTCGTCAACATCACCACGACTCCTCCAAACGACTCCAGCAGGTTCCCGTCTCGGCGCAGCGCATCTACTGCTGTTGGATCATCCATGGGCTTCAGAGCGTCTCGGTGGATCCTCCTCAACACCTCAAGGCTCGAGTTGTTCCCGAAAGGTCTCCCCCCGCCAGCACAGATCGCGACGGTGATGGGGTCTACCCAGCTTGGCGGGAACTTGCTAGTTAAGTCGTTGAGTTCGATCCCATTCATCTCAATCTGATTGTCGGTCCGTTTAAGCTCAACGATTGACTCCGAGCTGCCGCGTGCAGGGACTTGGCTCATCGGCCAAGCATTGAGGACACCAAAGCCTTGCAAGATGTGCGCCTGGCACATGCTTTCGTGCGTTGCTATCTGAAACATACAGTACAACGATGAGTCCTTGAGGCTTTTCTTGTCACCTCGTACTATGGCCAACAGTGGATTTGCTAGATCTCGAAACAAGGTCGCGCTATCTTTCCCTTGTCCACCTCTCCAATACTTGAAGAATAGGTGGCAGAGCATGGGGTTGACATTGTCGAGCAACCCCTCAATCATCTCTTCCCCAAACACCTGCTTCAGGATATCGCGCTGCTCATCAGACTGAAGGATCATCGGAGGAAGAGCTCGATGGGTGATGCACTTGATAGTCTCTTGGTTCTTGCCTCGGCTATTTCTCGTCTGCTGTAAAGCATTGTTGAAATTCATCACCAGAGTGTTGGTACCCAGCATGATGCAATGAAAGCCTGCATTACGAAGCATCCTCTTGAGGAACAACAGCCTCCATAAGGCATTAGTGCGGCAGGGCATACCTTGATACCTCGGGATTGCTTCATCGACCAACACCCACAGGTGCTCCTTCTCTGTCCACAGCTTTGCTTCCTCCACGCGCACCTTTCCTGGGCCCGTCGTCTTGCCAAACAGGTATCCCACAACACCAAGCAAGTTCCAGCTGTACGCGTGCAGGTCGATCGTCAAGACTTCCTGCTCGCATTTTGTTGGGTCAAGGTAATCGATCCTGCGATCACACGCCTGGAGATCAAGATCGATGGCTGCATTGATCATGTGCGAGATGCCTCGTACAATCAGATATAAATCCTGTTCCTGGATGTATCCGAACAAGCAATAAAGCGATGTCTTTGGATTTCGTACGAAGTAGTCTACAGCACTCAGCGATTTCCCGCTCCCCGAGCATGCCTCGATCATACAAGTAACAATCCCGGCTTTTCTTCCCGCTTCTGCTACTACTTTGTCGATGGGGTTCCTTTGGCTGAATGCTCCCGTTCTTGATCCCAGCACTTCGCCTAGGTGTCTCTTCAGCGTGTCAACGACCTCTCCCAGCGCAATGCGATACTTGAGAGACACCGCATGCAACACTGCAGGAAAACATTCAGCGCTTCGCCTTTTCAAACCACCTCAACCCTCCGCACGGCAGCACACAATCTCAGCAAGTACAGGTTACCTTCCGTATCCAACCGCATAGGCAACGATGCATCAAAGTCTGCAAGCTTGCACTGATTGAGGTACAAAGAGCGCTGCAAATCATCTACTAACTGGGTCTGATTCTTGGTTTGCGCATCAACCAGCTTCGCCTCCGCGACCTCGACCTCCCCTCTCAGCTTCGCCTTCGTGACCTTGACCTCCCCTCTCAGCTCCGCCTTCGCGACCTCGACTATCGCCGCCTCGATCTCCCTCTCGTCCCCAGCCTTGTTCGCTGCTCCCAGCTTCGCCTTCGCGACCTCGACCTCCCCTCTCTGCTTCGCCTCCGCGACCTCGACCTCCCCTCTCTGCTTCGCCTCCGCGACCTCGACCTCCCCTCTCAGCTTCGCCTCCGCGACCTCGACTTTCGCCGCCGCGATCTTCCTCTCGTCCCCAGCCTTGTTCGCTGCTCCCAGCTTCGCCTTCGCGACCTCGACCTCCTCTCTCAGCTTCGCCTCCGCGACCTCGACCTCCCCTCTCAGCTTCGCCTCCGCGACCTCGACCTCCCCTCTCAGCTTCGCCTCCGCGACCTTGACTTTCGCCGCCGCGATCTTCCTCTCGTCCCCAGCCTTGTTCGCTGCTCCCAGCTTCGCCTCCGCGACCTCGACCTCCCCTCTCAGCTTCGCCTCCGCGACCTCGACCTCCCCTCTCTGCTTCGCCTCCGCGACCTCGACTTTCGCCGCCGCGATCTTCCTCTCGGCCCCAGCCTTGTTCGCTGCTCCCAGTTTCGCCTCCGCGACCTCGACCTCCCCTCTCTGCTTCGCCTTCCCGACCACAACCTCCTCTCTCAGCTTCGCCTCCGCGACCTCGACCTCCCCTCTCTGCTTCGCCTCCGCGACCTTGACTTTCGCCGCCGCGATCACCCTCTCGTCCCCAGCCTTGTTTGCTTCTCCCAGTCTCGCATCAGCGACCTCGACCTCCCCTCTCAGCTTCGCCTCCGCGACCTTGACTTTCGCCGCCGCGATCTTCCTCTCGTCCCCAGCCTTGTTCGCTTCTCCCAGTTTCGCCTCCGCGACCTCGACCTCCCCTCTCTGCTTCGCCTCCGCGACCTTGACTTTCGCCGCCGCGATCACCCTCTCGTCCCCAGCCTTGTTCGCTTCTCCCAGTTTCGCCTCCGCGACCTCGACCTCTCCTCTCAGCTTCGCCTCCGCGACCTCGACTTTTGCTGCCGCGATCACCCTCTCGTCCCCAGCCTTGTTCGCTGCTCCCAGCTTCGCCTTCGCTAAATCTATCTCTGCAAAGGCTATCTTCTCTCCATCGCGGCTTTCTCGCGCTGCTTGTAGTCTCTTCCTCATCTCCGTTACCTCCGTCGCGGCGATCTCCCTCTCGTTCCCTCGAGCATTCCATGGGTTCAGCTCCGCCGCTTCCTCTTCAGGTGGGGCATGTAGATCCTGGACATGTCCTTGACGCGTCCTTTGCCTTGAGGGTCTGCTCTCGTGCATCTCGGCATCGCGCCTTCGCTTGGATCTGTTGCCTGACATGCTGCTCGAATGGCGCTTGATTTCGAGGGGATTTGGAGCGGAGCAGGAGGATTGGAGGTTCTATTTGAAATGCCCGCTCTCAATTTCACGTGGAGGGGTCCGATTTGAAAGTACACCCCCTCTATAGAGCCTCGGGCGCGGCTTGTAAACCGGCCCCCCCGGGCCCCAGTGACCGGCGCGGCCCGGCCGCCCCGACGGTGACCCGGTCGGCGGTCGGACGGTCGGCCGGGGCCCGGCCCGGATTCTCGAGGCAAGTTTACTCCAAGTCACGGGCCCGAAAGCTGAAAGTTCATGGCAAGTTAGTCGGCATGACGATACTAGATCCGATCCGAGGCTTCTCCCACGTGTGATAGTCCCCCGAGCTACGGTGGCAATGGATCGCGGACGGACTCTCAACAGCAGCCTCGGACAGTGAAAGCGACTGAGCGATCAGTCAAGTGAAGTAGTGAAGTATGCTGAGAGAGAATTTACATAGAAGGAGCGGGTAGATTACGCTTCTCCGACATACTTGTAGGTGCGTTTGTAGTCGGATAGAGGAAGGTTTGTTGTTGTCATACCTGGGCGCTGATATTCTCGAAATGAGAATGATGAGATCGTCCTTCGAGAAAGACTGATACAGCAGTGAGAAGAACATTTTTGTGGGAAAACAACAAGTACTTTGATCTGAGGAGACGTCGCCCAGCTGAGCACGTCAATCTGCGATTGACGTCAGATGAAAGAGAAAGCTTCTCCAGCGCACACATAACGAGCAGGGACTTTATACAATCAAGGAATGCTGAGAAAACGCAACGACAACGACACACACACACACACACACACACACACACACACACAGGGAGGAAGAAGAGAATGACAGGCAGGTAGGCAGGCAGGCAGGCTGGCAGGCAGGCAGGACCGTTTCCAAGCACGGAGTGAAGATCATGTTAGGCCCAGCGGTGAAGAAGAAGGGAAGGACGTGGCCGTGAGGGGGGAGGTGACACCAGACACTCTCGTCCCCAAAGTAAGGCCTCAGTACAAGGCTCTTCCCCCCGTTGTGCGCTGACTCGGAGCGCGAGGTGATCCGCAACGTGATCCTCAGATCCTGCAAGGACGGAATTTCCACTGGGATACCATTGAAACGAACCTCCCCGTTGAGAAATGTCCCCACCCCTGCTACCTCCGTAGCACACAGCTGCATCTTGTGTAAAAAATTGAAGGAGTCGGCCTGTGGTGACAGTTTACCCCAACATCGGACAAGAGGTCGTGAGGTCGGTACCAGGCTCTCGACGAGGCAGCTGAAATCGTCCAACCTCAAGGGATCGAAGGCAAGGGCCTTCTTTCCGTACATCGCCTGACCTCCGTCGTGAGTTGTCTTCCACACCAATGAATCCTTCTTCGATAACACAACTGACATCAACAATTTCACGTCAGTTCGCATCAGGTCGCTAATGTTGTCCTTGAACCTGGCGTAACCTCTGTACTGATGAGAAGATTCTCGTTCTTGGACAGCACCGGGATGGCAGTGCTGGCAGCAGAACACCAGGTGATGAAGACGAGAACAACTCCTTCACCTGTCATCCAGCTCCTCGAACCAATCCTTCTCACTCTCGTCCTCGCGAACATCACTCCCTAGGTTGGAGAAGACGTACGCATGCAAGCGAACCCAGGAAGGGATACCTCCCATCCTCGCCCTCACCCATCGGACGAGGTCCCCGACGCTCTTCAAGTTTGACTTTCCTCCGACCACGACAAGATGCTTCAAGCTCGACGTGTCCACACACACACTCGTCAGAACGCGCGGCTTCTGGGCAGAGTCAGCCCTCAACCCATAAGTCAGGCTTGAATGGCACTCTCCCTCCACTGCTATGTAGAGCTTCTTCAAGGAGGAGGCTATCCTCGGGTTGAGGATACACTGACCTGTCAGGAGGGAACATGAGGACGACGACGTCACTCTCGCTGGCATCGGCTGAAACGCAGTCCTGGGAACCCCATGGAAGATTCCGAGGGAGCTCAGCACAGTAGACCGTTTCCTCTCATCGTCGGTTGCTCCCAACGCCAGCAGCAGGTGTTCTCCTGCTACACACACATTGCACAGCAAGTCCTCCATCATCAACTCGCAGCCGTCACAAGTGTACAGGTGCTCAGGGGTGAGCTCTGGGTATAGCGATGCGAGGTGGTCGCACACGTCTGAGACCGAAGTGTCTGCCCTGATGGGAACCTTGACGACTTGCGAGAACACATCGACCAAGACGAAGTCCTGCGAGCACGCGTGAGGTAAGGCAGCAGCTGCTGGCTCAACCATAGGGAGAGGTGGGGGGCTCATGCCGAGGAGTGTGCCAAATGAAACAAGTAGCTACGTTCAAGGACGGGAGATGATAGCACGTTCTCATCATTGCACATCAAGTTGGACATCAACAAGAGCAGGAAAAGGAGAAGATGGAAGTCGGCAAAATGAGCATGGCAAGCAACGAGCTTTGGGGGGCGACCTAACTTACCTTCTCATCGCCATGGTTGTGCTCGTTTGCCCTGCCGTGCTTGCCTGCCGACTTGCCTGTATCGTGTCCTTCGCCCCCTGCCGCCATGTCCTCCCTGTCTCTCGCTCCCCCGCCTCCTCCCTCTTTGTTATCCCTCGTTTTTGCCGGCGCCATAGCCTCTCGCACCGATATCCTCGTGGCCAATTGGGGTCCGACCGTACCCAATATTACCTTGACCTCACTTAGAACATCTACGACCTATTCCCTTACCGCTCCTCATCATGATCTCCAATCTCAGGTCGTGGAAGCGAAGCTGGGGGCAGCGAACAAGGCTGGGGACGAGAGGGAGATCGCGGCAGCAAGGTAGAGGTCGAGGAAGCTGAGAGGGGAGGTAGAGGTCGCGAAGGCGGAGCTGAGAGAGGAGGTCGAGGTCGCGAAGGCGAAGCTGAGAGGGGAGGTCGAGGTCGCGGAGGCGAAGCTAGTTGATGCGCAAACCAAGAATCAGACCCAGTTAGTAGATGATTTGCAGCGCTCTTTGTACCTCAATCAGTGCAAGCGTGCAGACTTTGATGCATCTTTGCCTATGCGGTTGGATACGGAAGGTAACCTGTACTTGCTGAGATTGTGTGCTGCCGTGCGGAGGGTTGAGGTGGTTTGAAAAGGCGAAGCGCTGAATGTTTTCCTGCAGTGTTGCATGCGGTGTCTCTCAAGTATCGCATTGCGCTGGGAGAGGTCGTTGACACGCTGAAGAGACACCTAGGCGGAGTGCTGGGATCAAGAACGGGAGCATTCAGCCACAAGAACCCCATCGACAAAGTAGTAGCAGAAGCGGGAAGAAAAGCCGGGATTGTTACTTGTATGATCGAGGCATGCTCGGGGAGCGGGAAATCGCTGAGTGCTGTAGACTACTTCGTACGAAATCCAAAGACATCGCTTTATTGCTTGTTCGGATACATCCAGGAACAGGATTTATATCTGATTGTACGAGGCATCTCGCACATGATCAATGCAGCCATCGATCTTGATCTCCAGGCGTGTGATCGCAGGATCGATTACCTTGACCCAACAAAATGCGAGCAGGAAGTCTTGACGATCGACCTGCACGCGTACAGCTGGAACTTGCTTGGTGTTGTGGGATACCTGTTTGGCAAGACGACGGGCCCAGGAAAGGTGCGCGTGGAGGAAGCAAAGCTGTGGACAGAGAAGGAGCACCTGTGGGTGTTGGTCGATGAAGCAATCCCGAGGTATCAAGGTATGCCCTGCCGCACTAACGCCTTATGGAGGCTGTTGTTCCTCAAGAGGATGCTTCATTACCAGACAAGACCAGCACAAACAAAGCTCTCACGTCCTCTTCGTCGCTTCGTCATCGATCTAGCGTCTCTTCATCTTTTCTCGGTCTCTCGTTCTCCTTTTCTACCGAGTCCAGCATCCCTCATTGGTCTGCGTCTCTGAGCGATCATCTCCCGGTTGCTTCACGGGTCCTCGTCATCCATCTTCACGGGTCCTCGTCATCCATCTTCACGGGTCCTCGTCATCCATCTTCACGGGTCCTCGTCATCCATCTTCACGGGTCCTCGTCATCCATCTTCACGGGTCCTCGTCATCCATCTTCACGGGTCCTCGTCATCCATCTCGTCTTGCTGCATCGATGGTTCACTAAAAGGTTTCGTTGACAGCCCGATCTCCATAAGGATCAGTATCCTATGACTTTTGCACTTCGCCTTTCCGCCTAACACCTCAGTGTGCCATCCTGAGTATTTCGTTGTGTCCATCGTCCAATGCAGAACCAACCACGTGGCATCTCCATCTGTCGGTAGGATGTTCTCAGCCTTGAACTCTCCTAGCGCCGGAGCCATGAACAACAGGAGGTTGTGATTGTCGTTGGCTAGTTTCTTCACAAACTTCGTGAGCTGCGATTGACCAAGAGGCTTTCTCCGGTTCTTAAACTCCGCTGCTCCCCTCATGCTGCTTTGGCCATCAGGACTGTGGACGGGGCCCACAAACTCTCCGTCCCGTCTCCGCTTGTCCTTGCATCGAATGTAGTACCCGAAAGCTTTATGGTTAGGCATCTCATCGTCACTGTCCCGCAAGGGGATCAGATTACAGAAGCACTGAGTCAAGACTTTGCGGAACTCCCGTGCTGATGCTTCATCCTTCACGCAACCAAGCACCTCCTTCACTTTGCCTCTCACTTCCCTTCCGCAATGATGGCTGAGGGTTGAAAGAATGTCCTCAGGATCGGCCCAGCTCGTCAACATCACCACGACTCCTCCAAACGACTCCAGCAGGTTCCCGTCTCGGCGCAGCGCATCTACTGCTGTTGGATCATCCATGGGCTTCAGAGCGTCTCGGTGGATCCTCCTCAACACCTCAAGGCTCGAGTTGTTCCCGAAAGGTCTCCCCCCGCCAGCACAGATCGCGACGGTGATGGGGTCTACCCAGCTTGGCGGGAACTTGCTAGTCAAGTCGTTGAGTTCGATCCCATTCATCTCAATCTGATTGTCGGTCCGTTTAAGCTCAACGATTGACTCCGAGCTGCCGCGTGCAGGGACTTGGCTCATCGGCCAAGCATTGAGGACACCAAAGCCTTGCAAGATGTGCGCCTGGCACATGCTTTCGTGCGTTGCTATCTGAAACATACAGTACAACGATGAGTCCTTGAGGCTTTTCTTGTCACTTCGTACTAAGGCCAACAGTGGATTTGCTAGATCTCGAAACAAGGTCGCGCTATCTTTCCCTTGTCCACCTCTCCAATACTTGAAGAATAGGTGGCAGAGCATGGGGTTGACATTGTCGAGCAACCCCTCAATCATCTCTTCCCCAAACACCTGCTTCAGGATATCGCGCTGCTCATCAGACTGAAGGATCATCGGAGGAAGAGCTCGATGGGTGATGCACTTGATAGTCTCTTGGTTCTTGCCTCGGCTATTTCTCGTCTGCTGTAAAGCATTGTTGAAATTCATCACCAGAGTGTTGGTACCCAGCATGATGCAATGAAAGCCTGCATTACGAAGCATCCTCTTGAGGAACAACAGCCTCCATAAGGCATTAGTGCGGCAGGGCATACCTTGATACCTCGGGATTGCTTCATCGACCAACACCCACAGGTGCTCCTTCTCTGTCCACAGCTTTGCTTCCTCCACGCGCACCTTTCCTGGGCCCGTCGTCTTGCCAAGCAGGTATCCCACAACACCAAGCAAGTTCCAGCTGTACGCGTGCAGGTCGATCGTCAAGACTTCCTGCTCGCATTTTGTTGGGTCAAGGTAATCGATCCTGCGATCACACGCCTGGAGATCAAGATCGATGGCTGCATTGATCATGTGCGAGATGCCTCGTACAATCAGATATAAATCCTGTTCCTGGATGTATCCGAACAAGCAATAAAGCGATGTCTTTGGATTTCGTACGAAGTAGTCTACAGCACTCAGCGATTTCCCGCTCCCCGAGCATGCCTCGATCATACAAGTAACAATCCCGGCTTTTCTTCCCGCTTCTGCTACTACTTTGTCGATGGGGTTCCTTTGGCTGAATGCTCCCGTTCTTGATCCCAGCACTCCGCCTAGGTGTCTCTTCAGCGTGTCAACGACCTCTCCCAGCGCAATGCGATACTTGAGAGACACCGCATGCAACACTGCAGGAAAACATTCAGCGCTTCGCCTTTTCAAACCACCTCAACCCTCCGCACGGCAGCACACAATCTCAGCAAGTACAGGTTACCTTCCGTATCCAACCGCATAGGCAACGATGCATCAAAGTCTGCAAGCTTGCACTGATTGAGGTACAAAGAGCGCTGCAAATCATCTACTAACTGGGTCTGATTCTTGGTTTGCGCATCAACCAGCTTCGCCTCCGCGACCTCGACCTCCCCTCTCAGCTTCGCCTTCGTGACCTTGACCTCCCCTCTCAGCTCCGCCTTCGCGACCTCGACTATCGCCGCCTCGATCTCCCTCTCGTCCCCAGCCTTGTTCGCTGCTCCCAGCTTCGCCTCCGCGACCTCGACCTCCCCTCTCTGCTTCGCCTCCGCGACCTCGACCTCCCCTCTCTGCTTCGCCTCCGCGACCTCGACCTCCCCTCTCTGCTTCGCCTCCGCGACCTCGACTTTCGCCGCCGCGATCTTCCTCTCGTCCCCAGCCTTGTTCGCTGCTCCCAGCTTCGCCTTCGCGACCTCGACCTCCCCTCTCTGCTTCGCCTTCGCGACCTCGACCTCCCCTCTCAGCTTCGCCTCCGCGACCTCGACCTCCCCTCTCTGCTTCGCCTCCGCGACCGTGACTTTCGCCGCCGCGATCTCCCTCTCGTCCCCAGCCTTGTTCGCTGCTCCCAGCTTCGCCTCCGCGACCTCGACCTCCCCTCTCTGCTTCGCCTTCGCGACCTCGACCTCCTCTCTCAGCTTCGCCTCCGCGACCTCGACCTCCCCTCTCTGCTTCGCCTCCGCGACCTTGACTTTCGCCGCCGCGATCACCCTCTCGTCCCCAGCCTTGTTCGCTTCTCCCAGTTTCGCCTCCGCGACCTCGACCTCTCCTCTCAGCTTCGCCTCCGCGACCTCGACTTTTGCTGCCGCGATCACCCTCTCGTCCCCAGCCTTGTTCGCTGCTCCCAGCTTCGCCTTCGCTAAATCTATCTCTGCAAAGGCTATCTTCTCTCCATCGCGGCTTTCTCGCGCTGCTTGTAGTCTCTTCCTCATCTCCGTTACCTCCGTCGCGGCGATCTCCCTCTCGTTCCCTCGAGCATTCCATGGGTTCAGCTCCGCCGCTTCCTCTTCAGGTGGGGCATGTAGATCCTGGACATGTCCTTGACGCGTCCTTTGCCTTGAGGGTCTGCTCTCGTGCATCTCGGCATCGCGCCTTCGCTTGGATCTGTTGCCTGACATGCTGCTCGAATGGCGCTTGATTTCGAGGGGATTTGGAGCGGAGCAGGAGGATTGGAGGTTCTATTTGAAATGCCCGCTCTCAATTTCACGTGGACGGGGTCCGATTTGAAAGTACACCCCCTCTATAGAGCCTCGGGCGCGGCTTGTAAACCGGCCCCCCCGGGCCCCAGTGACCGGCGCGGCCCGGCCGCCCCGACGGTGACCCGGTCGGCGGTCGGACGGTCGGCCGGGGCCCGGCCCGGATTCTCGAGGCAAGTTTACTCCAAGTCACGGGCCCGAAAGCTGAAAGTTCATGGCAAGTTAGTCGGCATGACGATACTAGATCCGATCCGAGGCTTCTCCCACGTGTGATAGTCCCCCGAGCTACGGTGGCAATGGATCGCGGACGGACTCTCAACAGCAGCCTCGGACAGTGAAAGCGACTGAGCGATCAGTCAAGTGAAGTAGTGAAGTATGCTGAGAGAGAATTTACATAGAAGGAGCGGGTAGATTACGCTTCTCCGACATACTTGTAGGTGCGTTTGTAGTCGGATAGAGGAAGGTTTGTTGTTGTCATACCTGGGCGCTGATATTCTCGAAATGAGAATGATGAGATCGTCCTTCGAGAAAGACTGATACAGCAGTGAGAAGAACATTTTTGTGGGAAAACAACAAGTACTTTGATCTGAGGAGACGTCGCCCAGCTGAGCACGTCAATCTGCGATTGACGTCAGATGAAAGAGAAAGCTTCTCCAGCGCACACATAACGAGCAGGGACTTTATACAATCAAGGAATGCTGAGAAAACGCAACGACAACGACACACACACACACACACACACACACACACAGGGAGGAAGAAGAGAATGACAGGCAGGTAGGCAGGCAGGCAGGCTGGCTGGCAGGCAGGACCGTTTCCAAGCACGGAGTGAAGATCATGTTAGGCCCAGCGGTGAAGAAGAAGGGAAGGACGTGGCCGTGAGGGGGGAGGTGACACCAGACACTCTCGTCCCCAAAGTAAGGCCTCAGTACAAGGCTCTTCCCCCCGTTGTGCGCTGACTCGGAGCGCGAGGTGATCCGCAACGTGATCCTCAGATCCTGCAAGGACGGAATTTCCACTGGGATACCATTGAAACGAACCTCCCCGTTGAGAAATGTCCCCACTCCTGCCACCTCCGTAGCACACAGCTGCATCTTGTGTAAAAAATTGAAGGAGTCGGCCTGTGGTGACAGTTTACCCCAACATCGGACAAGAGGTCGTGAGGTCGGTACCAGGCTCTCGACGAGGCAGCTGAAATCGTCCAACCTCAAGGGATCGAAGGCAAGGGCCTTCTTTCCGTACATCGCCTGACCTCCGTCGTGAGTTGTCTTCCACACCAATGAATCCTTCTTCGATAACACAACTGACATCAACAATTTCACGTCAGTTCGCATCAGGTCGCTAATGTTGTCCTTGAACCTGGCGTAACCTCTGTACTGATGAGAAGATTCTCGTTCTTGGACAGCACCGGGATGGCAGTGCTGGCAGCAGAACACCAGGTGATGAAGACGAGAACAACTCCTTCACCTGTCATCCAGCTCCTCGAACCAATCCTTCTCACTCTCGTCCTCGCGAACATCACTCCCTAGGTTGGAGAAGACGTACGCATGCAAGCGAACCTAGGAAGGGATACCTCCCATCCTCGCCCTCACCCATCGGACGAGGTCCCCGACGCTCTTCAAGTTTGACTTTCCTCCGACCACGACAAGATGCTTCAAGCTCGACGTGTCCACACACACACTCGTCAGAACGCGCGGCTTCTGGGCAGAGTCAGCCCTCAACCCATAAGTCAGGCTTGAATGGCACTCTCCCTCCACTGCTATGCAGAGCTTCTTCAAGGAGGAGGCTATCCTCGGGTTGAGGATACACTGACCCGTCAGGAGGGAACATGAGGACGACGACGTCACTCTCGCTGGCATCGGCTGGAACGCAGTCCTGGGAACCCCATGGAAGATTCCGAGGGAGCTCAGCACAGTAGACTTTTTCCTCTCATCGTCGGTTGTTCCCAACGCCAGCAGAAGGTGTTCTCCTGCTACACACACATCGCACAGCAAGTCCTCCATCATCAACTCGCAGCCGTCACAAGTGTACAGGTGCTCTGGGGTGAGCTCTGGGTATAGCGATGCGAGGTGGTCGCAGACGTCTGAGACCGAAGTGTCTGCCCTGATGGGAACCTTGACGACTTGCGAGAACACATCAACCAAGACGAAGTCCTGCGAGCACGTGTGAGATCAGGCAGCTACTGCTGGCTCAGCCATGGGGAGGGGTGGGGGCTCATGCCGAGGGGTGTGCCATATGAAACAAGTAGCCACGTTCAATGACGGGAGATGAGGTTCAAGGACGGGAGATGATAGTACGCTCAAGGACGGGAGATGATAGTACGTTCCCAGCATTGCACATCAAGTTTGATGTCAACTAGAGCGAGAAGGGCGCAGACGTCTGAGACCGAAGTGTCTGCCCTGATGGGAACCTTGACGACTTGCGAGAACACATCAACCAAGACGAAGTCCTGCGAGCACGTGTGAGATCAGGCAGCTACTGCTGGCTCAGCCATGGGGAGGGGTGGGGGCTCATGCCGAGGGGTGTGCCATATGAAACAAGTAGCCACGTTCAATGACGGGAGATGAGGTTCAAGGACGGGAGATGATAGTACGCTCAAGGACGGGAGATGATAGTACGTTCCCAGCATTGCACATCAAGTTTGATGTCAACTAGAGCGAGAAGAGGAGATTATGGAAGCCGGCAAATGGAGCAGGGCAAGTCACGAGCTTCAGGGGGGAACCTAGCTTACCTTCTCATCGCCATGGTTGTGGTCATTTGCCCTGCCATGCTTGCCTGCCGACTTGCCTGCATCGTGTCCTTCGCCCTCTGCCGCCATGTCCTCCCTGTCTCTCGCTCCCCCGCCTCCTCCCTCTTTGTTATCCCTCGTTTTTGCCGGCGCCATAGCCTCTCGCACCGATGTCCTCGTGGCCAATTGGGGTCCGACCGTACCCAATATTACCTTGACCTCAATTGAAACATCTCCGACCTATTCCCTTACCGCTCCTCATCATGGTCTCCAATATCTGCGGACTCCAGGTCGTGGAAGCGAAGTAGCGAGCAGCGAACAAGGCTGGGAACGAGGGGGAGATCACGTTGACGGAGGTAGAGGTCGCGAAGGCGAAGCTGGTTGATGCAGTACCCTAGCCATATTTCAATGGCGGGCCATGGCGACTCGTGAGCCTCGCTGAGGGCGCCACATCAAGCAGGTGTGCATGCGTGATCGCTGCGTGGCGGTTGCTCTGGTCTTTGTGTGTGGAGCCTTATGCATCATCTTGGCTCTTGGTGTGTAGATGCAGCGACACGCTCCACACCTGTGTGGGTACTTGAACTGGCTCCAGCGGCACTGACGATGTCGCACGCGCTCCTGAAGCTTCAGACGGGGATGGAGCAAGAGCAGGCATGCGCTTGCCAGGCTCAAAGAGGACTCTCGTGGTTGCAAGCGACGTGCGATGCAGTGAGATCCATGGGACTCGGTGCGAGACAGGTCAGCTCGGCATCGCATCTGGTGGCTCATCGGAGGGATGTGATTTTCCCCGAGGGCAGCAAAGCCGCCTGGATCCACGGCGGTCTCTGAACCCTTATCGCGCCCTGAAGATGCAAGCTCCGAGAAGTGATGGCGAGATAGGCATCCCACATTCGTGGCAGGACGATATTGTGCTTGACTGCGGCTCGACTGCGGCTGCCAGAGAGAGAACATTACACCACGTTGGGAACAGAGGGCTGTTTATTGTAGACACACTTTTAATGCTGGTATTCAAGTTACAACAAGGTACCCCTCCCTCCCCCGGCCGTTCTAGCTCCCACCAATCGCCTTGCTTGAGAGTCTACCATGGCAAGAGCGTGTTGGCATCCTCGCCCTTACCCGGGCTGCGGCAAGCAGTAGACTTCTCACCCTACTATGGTCCAGGCTTGCGAGCTTCCTTATGAGACAAGACCAGCACAAACAAAGCTCTCACGTCCTCTTCGTCGCTTCGTCATCTTTTCTCGGTCTCTGGTTCTCCTCTACCGAGTCCAGCATCCCTCATTGGTCTGCGTCTCTGAGCGATCATCTCCCGGTTGCTTCACGGGTCCTCGTCATCCATCTTCACGGGTCCTCGTCATCCATCTTCACGGGTCCTCGTCATCCATCTTCACGGGTCCTCGTCATCCACCTTCACGGGTCCTCGTCATCCATCTTCACGGGTCCTCGTCATCCATCTCGTCTTGCTGCATCGACGGTTCACTAAAAGGTTTCGTTGACAGCCCGATCTCCATAAGGATCAGTATCCTATGACTTTTGCACTTCGCCTTTCCGCCTAACACCTCAGTGTGCCATCCTGAGTATTTCGTTGTGTCCATCGTCCAATGCAGAACCAACCACGTGGCATCTCCATCTGTCGGTAGGATGTTCTCAGCCTTGAACTCTCCTAGCGCCGGAGCCATGAACAACAGGAGGTTGTGATTGTCGTTGGCTAGTTTCTTCACAAACTTCGTGAGCTGCGATTGACCAAGAGGCTTTCTCCGGTTCTTAAACTCCGCTGCTCCCCTCATGCTGCTTTGGCCATCAGGACCGTGGACGGGGCCCACAAACTCTCCGTCCCGTCTCCGCTTGTCCTTGCATCGAGTGTAGTACCCGAAAGCTTTATGGTTAGGCATCTCATCGTCACCGTCCCGCAAGGGGATCAGATTACAGAAGCACTGAGTCAAGACTTTGCGGAACTCCCGTGCTGATGCTTCATCCTTCACGCAACCAAGCACCTCCTTCACTTTGCCTCTCACTTCCCTTCCGCAATGATGGCTGAGGGTTGAAAGAATGTCCTCAGGATCGGCCCAGCTCGTCAACATCACCACGACTCCTCCAAACGACTCCAGCAGGTTCCCGTCTCGGCGCAGCGCATCTACTGCTGTTGGATCATCCATGGGCTTCAGAGCGTCTCGGTGGATCCTCCTCAACACCTCAAGGCTCGAGTTGTTCCCGAAAGGTCTCCCCCCGCCAGCACAGATCGCGACGGTGATGGGGTCTACCCAGCTTGGCGGGAACTTGCTAGTCAAGTCGTTGAGTTCGATCCCATTCATCTCAATCTGATTGTCGGTCCGTTTAAGCTCAACGATTGACTCCGAGCTGCCGCGTGCAGGGACTTGGCTCATCGGCCAAGCATTGAGGACACCAAAGCCTTGCAAGATGTGCGCCTGGCACATGCTTTCGTGCGTTGCTATCTGAAACATACAGTACAACGATGAGTCCTTGAGGCTTTTCTTGTCACCTCGTACTATGGCCAACAGTGGATTTGCTAGATCTCGAAACAAGGTCGCGCTATCTTTCCCTTGTCCACCACTCCAATACTTGAAGAATAGGTGGCAGAGCATGGGGTTGACATTGTCGAGCAACCCCTCAATCATCTCTTCCCCAAACACCTGCTTCAGGATATCGCGCTGCTCATCAGACTGAAGGATCATCGGAGGAAGAGCTCGATGGGTGATGCACTTGATAGTCTCTTGGTTCTTGCCTCGGCTATTTCTCGTCTGCTGTAAAGCATTGTTGAAATTCATCACCAGAGTGTTGGTACCCAGCATGATGCAATGAAAGCCTGCATTACGAAGCATCCTCTTGAGGAACAACAGCCTCCATAAGGCGTTAGTGCGGCAGGGCATACCTTGATACCTCGGGATTGCTTCATCGACCAACACCCACAGGTGCTCCTTCTCTGTCCACAGCTTTGCTTCCTCCACGCGCACCTTTCCTGGGCCCGTCGTCTTGCCAAGCAGGTATCCCACAACACCAAGCAAGTTCCAGCTGTACGCGTGCAGGTCGATCGTCAAGACTTCCTGCTCGCATTTTGTTGGGTCAAGGTAATCGATCCTGCGATCACACGCCTGGAGATCAAGATCGATGGCTGCATTGATCATGTGCGAGATGCCTCGTACAATCAGATATAAATCCTGTTCCTGGATGTATCCGAACAAGCAATAAAGCGATGTCTTTGGATTTCGTACGAAGTAGTCTACAGCACTCAACGATTTCCCGCTCCCCGAGCATGCCTCGATCATACAAGTAACAATCCCGGCTTTTCTTCCCGCTTCTGCTACTACTTTGTCGATGGGGTTCCTTTGGCTGAATGCTCCCGTTCTTGATCCCAGCACTTCGCCTAGGTGTCTCTTCAGCGTGTCAACGACCTCTCCCAGCGCAATGCGATACTTGAGAGACACCGCATGCAACACTGCAGGAAAACATTCAGCGCTTCGCCTTTTCAAACCACCTCAACCCTCCGCACGGCAGCACACAATCTCAGCAAGTACAGGTTACCTTCCGTATCCAACCGCATAGGCAACGATGCATCAAAGTCTGCAAGCTTGCACTGATTGAGGTACAAAGAGCGCTGCAAATCATCTACTAACTGGGTCTGATTCTTGGTTTGCGCATCAACCAGCTTCGCCTCCGCGACCTCGACCTCCCCTCTCAGCTTCGCCTTCGTGACCTTGACCTCCCCTCTCAGCTCCGCCTTCGCGACCTCGACTATCGCCGCCTCGATCTCCCTCTCGTCCCCAGCCTTGTTCGCTGCTCCCAGCTTCGCCTTCGCGACCTCGACCTCCCCTCTCTGCTTCGCCTCCGCGACCTCGACCTCCCCTCTCTGCTTCGCCTCCGCGACCTCGACCTCCCCTCTCTGCTTCGCCTCCGCGACCTTGACTTTCGCCGCCGCGATCTTCCTCTCGTCCCCAGCCTTGTTCGCTGCTCCCAGCTTCGCCTCCGCGACCTCGACCTCCCCTCTCTGCTTCGCCTTCGCGACCTCGACCTCCTCTCTCAGCTTCGCCTCCGCGACCTCGACCTCCCCTCTCTGCTTCGCCTCCGGCGACCTTGACTTTCGCCGCCGCGATCTTCCTCGCCTCCGCGACCTTGACTTTCGCCGCCGCGATCACCCTCTCGTCCTCGACCTCCCCTCTCAGCTTCGCCTTCGCCTCCGCGACCTCGACCTCCGCGATCTTCCTCTCGTCCCCAGCCTTGTTCGCTTCTCCCAGTTTCGCCTCCGCGACCTCGACCTCCCCTCTCAGCTTCGCCTCCGCGACCTTGACTTTCGCCGCCGCGATCACCCTCTCGTCCCCAGCCTTGTTCGCTTCTCCCAGTTTCGCCTCCGCGACCTCGACCTCCCCTCTCAGCTTCGCCTCCGCGACCTCGACTTTTGCTGCCGCGATCACCCTCTCGTCCCCAGCCTTGTTCGCTGCTCCCAGCTTCGCCTTCGCTAAATCTATCTCTGCAAAGGCTATCTTCTCTCCATCGCGGCTTTCTCGCGCTGCTTGTAGTCTCTTCCTCATCTCCGTTACCTCCGTCGCGGCGATCTCCCTCTCGTTCCCTCGAGCATTCCATGGGTTCAGCTCCGCCGCTTCCTCTTCAGGTGGGGCATGTAGATCCTGGACATGTCCTTGACGCGTCCTTTGCCTTGAGGGTCTGCTCTCGTGCATCTCGGCATCGCGCCTTCGCTTGGATCTGTTGCCTGACATGCTGCTCGAATTGCGCTTGATTTCGAGGGGATTTGGAGCGGAGCAGGAGGATTGGAGGTTCTATTTGAAATGCCCGCTCTCAATTTCACGTGGAGGGGTCCGATTTGAAAGTACACCCCCTCTATAGCTGCTTGTTGAAACCCGCGGCCCGGGCCCCAGTGACGCGGCACCCGGTCGGCGGCCCGGCCGGCCCGGCCGGGCCCGCCGGAGGGCTGAGTCAAGTTTACTCCAAGTCACGGGCCCGAAAGCTGAAGCGGCCCGGCGCGGTTCCGGCGGATCGCGTCCTCCCAGCAGTCTGTGTGACCGTCCGTTCGGTCTGCCGGTGCTAAATGGCAAGTTGACTTTGAAACTTACGGTAGTACAATGATCCCGGGGGCTCTCCGAGGCTCAGCGTCACGGTTGCTAGCTAGGCCCATTCATTTTCGAAGTTCCGGCCCGGCCCCCCCGCCGCCGCCGACCGGCGGGCGGCCCCCGCCCCGACCGTTCGACGCGGCCGCGCTGCCACTCAGTGTGATCCCGGCCGGCCGGCGGCGTCGACTCGTGACGGACTGCGGTACGCTGTCTGCGGCATTACTACTGCGACAGTGTCAGGGGCAAGCCTCCTCGACTCTCCTGATTGTCCTCGTACTGATTTTGAATTCACTTTGAGGAAATATATATTTTGGCATCATGATCACGGTACTGGCAAGCCTAACAAACAGGCCCTGAAACTTGTGTTCCGTCATGAATGCTGGATGAGTTCCTCTGTGAGTCTCAGGCTTCACCGTGACGGACAAGGGGGCCAATGAACTTGATTAATCATGAAAGATGCATTCAAGAGGCTCTCCACACAGCGAGCCGCGAAAGCCTCGCACAATTCGCTCATCCCATCCAACATAGACGGCATGACGATACTAGATCCGATCCGAGGCTTCTGTTGTGCTCCGTCGGGCGGCTTTCACGGTAGTAGGGGGCATACTCTAACTCCCTGAAACGATGACCGATGAGGTAAGCAATCTCCAGTACAGGTACCACGAGCTCCTTTCGTTGCTCACTGTCATTCCTATGAAGAAGTCCGACGGTGGCAATCAACCCCCGCTTCATGTCACATCCACCAGCTTCTTTCCTCTCCCACGTGTGATAGTCCCCCGAGCTACAGTGGCAATGGATCGCGGAGATCAACAGCAGCCTCGGACAGTGAAAGCGACTGAGCGATCAGTCAAGTGAAGTAGTGAAGTATGCTGAGAGAGAATTTACATAGAAGGAGCGGGTAGATTACGCTTCTCCGACATACTTGTAGGTGCGTTTGTAGTCGGATAGATGTTTTGAAAGAGAGGCTGCAGGAATTGTGTTAGTTGGAGGAAGGAACATGGGGGGGAGGGGGAGGGGGGGGGAGGGGGAAGGAGGGAGGGAGGGAGGGAGGGAGGA